TTTGTTGTGATTTACTTTAATTTGTTCAGTTTTTCTGTAGCGATTACCGATTTATCGGCAAATACCGCGATTTGAAAACTTACTTTTCTTTAAGACTTTATTTATTTCATTCTACAGCATTTATAGTTCTACAGCCATCTTATACAGTTTTATAATATTGTGAATGATTCCGAATATTCAAAACGAATTGAAAGAATGAAAGCAGTAATGATGTACTGTATATTATAACGGTTTAAACTTAGCCGGCCGTACAGCTCACTGCCACCGGGCCGAAGGATAAACCGAAAATTCACTTCTCTCCATGACAAGCTTTAATGTTCAGTCGATCCCGGCTACATTGAAAGATGAGTACTTGGCTATTTTTGGGCAGGGGTAACGAAATATATCGGCTGTTCTCTACAGTAAGTGTTTCTTTATGTGTTGCCCAATCGGAATATAATATAACTACATAAGCTTGATGGATGTAAGATAACGAGTTTCACAATCCCATTTTAAATGCTATGGCTTTTGGCAGTTTTGCATCATATGTGTTTTTCAGTAAAAGCCCCATTTTCCTACTTCCCCAACATGTAAATTCGCGAAAACTCTTTATTAATAATAACAAAAATTTGTAATAGTAAACAGTGTATTTTATTATAAAGTATTTTCGTTTTTCTACTGCTCCGTACTTCGTGTGCTCCGTGCTCCGTGTGCTCCGTGCTCCGTGTGCTCCGTACTCCGTGTGCTCCGTGCTCCGTGCTCCGTGCTCCGTGTTTTACTAATAGCCGAAACATGCTAATTACAGAAGCTTACTGTTTTATAGCAGTGGAGATTTATTGTGATGAGAAAAATCAACCTTTATAGTTATTGTAACAGGCTTGAGGCTTGCGAAATTAACCATACTCCACGGTTTCTGCATTCTTTTCTTTCGTTTATTTTCAGTTCCTCGATTATTTCGCCCTATTTTTTATTAAATCTCCAAATTATGATCTATCCTCAACTACCAAACAAATATAATTACTTGTAATCATGACTTTTTCTGTCACGATACTCTATTTGTAGAGCGAAGAAACGCTTTTGAATTCAAATGTATGTATGAATGATCATGGATTATAGTCTTAGTAGTCATGACTATAGTCTTAATAGTCATGACTATAGTCTGAATAGTCATGACTGTAGTCTTAATAGTTACGACTACAGTCTTAATAGCCATGGACTATAGTCTTAGTAGTCATGGACTATTTAACAGTTATTCTACGAACTCCAGTCGAATATGAGCTGATAGCCGTGAGTGGAATAACTGTTTTATTATATACACAAGGTCTGAATTCACAGACTTTGCTTTTCGGATATTTTCAATACTTTTCTATTTTGTTTAATATGTTTTTATCTTCGCTCTTTCGGCCGATTATTTTTTCAAAAATATATATTTTTAACCATTATAAATTTTAAAAATTTATTTGCTAACCTGTAAACAATTTGTGGGAGTTTTTTCATTGTGTTTTTAATCCTGTAAAGGCTATAAAAAGCGAACAACTTGTTGTTTTCTCGTTCGCAAAACGTCGTTAATTCAGTTTGAGCCGCCATTTTTTTTCTCTACTAGCAGGATATGAGCTAATGTCCTGTTAGTAGAGAACCAATCAGATTGCAGAATACCTCATATCCAGACCTTGTGTATATAATAAAGTCCTAATAGTCATGATTATATTCTTAATAGTCATCACAATAGTCTTATTAGTCATGACCTATAGTATTAAAGTCATGAAATATAGTCATCATGGTGATAGGCTATAACCACAGGAATAAATATGCCTCATCACCCTTGTAATAATTTTACTCTGACTCTTAAAGGCAGAATGCAGCACTCCACGTGACCGAGAATACCGCTGTTGATTGATTTATATGACAAGCGGCTCGGGTTTCACGCACATGTTAATTTACTATAATAACAAATATGGCAGTAAACGAAGTTTAATACGAAGAGTTCGGCTCTGTTCTACAAAGCGAAGGAAGTTCATCGCCTGAAGACGAAACATTTGATTTAGACGAGTATAGCGAGGTAAGATTGTATTTTTATCCAATGTGCTGTAAAATTCGGCTCAATTAATAATTAAGTTTATAAACATTGTTTGCACTTTGCACAGATGAATCGCTTATTAAACCGACGGATAAACTGTGGCTGTAAATCGCAATGTATGCGCAAGTTAAAGACCTCTACGAATGGAAAGGTGACTGAACTGGCAGTCCTTGTAGAGGGAGTGATGCGCAATGTGGGAACCCAGACGTGCACTTCTGGTACGAGGAGTAAATCATGTAAAAATATAAAGGTATGTATTTGAGCTGACTGATATTGAAACATACATACATACATACATACTTTATTGTGTTCCCTAAATAAGGATTTTCGACACTGATTTACAAAAAATAAATGTTGTTCTATTTACAAGTTTTAGAATCTAGAATTTAAATTAAGGTAAAAAGGTAAAACATTTGTATAAAGTTTAACAAGGTAAAATTATCTACTTATATATTTGTTCTAGCATGTTTCGCTTCAGTTCGTTTTTGAAAGTTTTTAGGGAGTCTAACTTTTTGTACTTTATGTCCAAATCATTCCAGAGTGTAACGCCTCTATAATGAAAGGACCTTTGACCTGCAGAAGTTTTGTACAATGGTATTTGCAGTGAGTCATGGCTACGTGTATCTCGTTGATGAATTTCAGAACGTTTTGTGAATAAATCGCTCAAATAATGTGGAGCAAGTTCATTGACACATTTGTACATCATAATAGCCTCTCTTAGTAGTAATTGTTCCTTTACTGGGAGCCAGTTAAGTTCGCGTAAGCCCGGCGAAATATGGTCGAACTTTCCAATATTTGTTATTATCCTGCATGCAAAATTTTGTACCAACTGTAGTTTCTTAATGTTGGTAGACGAAGTGTTTGACCAAACCGTTGAGCAATAGAACATTTTGTTCATTACAAGTGCCGAGACGATGAGAGTTAAAGCTTCTTTATCGAAACATTTTTTGACTCGGTTTATTTGGCACAGGGAATTCATACATGAGGAAACCAGGTTGGTGATGTGCTGGTCATATGTCAAATAAGAGTCGATTGTCATTCCTAGATCTTTGGCAAAGGAGACGGGGGTAATAGTCTCGTTGAGGAAGTTTATGGTCATATCTACGGGAAGTTGTTGTAGGTTTTGCCGTGTGCCAATCAGCATGTATTTGGTCTTTCCCGGGTTAATAAGCAATTCATTTTCGGAACAACTGTTTGCAATCAAATACAAGTCTTCCTCAAGTTGTTGCTTTAAACAGTCCACGTTAGCCACAGTGAAAGATAGTAATATCTTGGAGTCGTCCACGTACGATTCAAGTTTACTATGGTGGACTGATGAGGGCAAATCGTTAGTATAAATACTAAAAAGTAAAGGTGATAAAATTGCACCCTGTGGTACACCATAAGAAACAGGGAGAGGAGTAGACACAGTTGATCCAATTCTGACTGATTGAGTTCTTCCGGTCAAGTAACTCTCAAACCATTTTACAACGCTTGGAGAAGCCCCGACGTTGCTAAGTTTTGTAAGGAGAAAAGTATGATTTACACTGTCGAAAGCTTTAGATAGATCTATTAGAATCAGTGCAGTAACCAATTTCCCATCCATGGCCTTTAGGATAGTATCTCCGGTCAAAAGATTCAATGTTTCGCATGAGTGATGTTTCTTGTTCCCGCTCTGGTGGGTTGACAATTTTTTGTTCTTCATTAGATACGAACCAAATTGATTCAAGGCGACTTTTTCACAAATTTTCGAAAGAAAGGTAAGGAGAGAAAGTGGGCGGTTATTTGATGCTTCCTCGTGGTTTCCATCCTTTAACAAAGGGATAACTTCTGCCTCTTTCCATGCTATAGGGAACGAAGATGACGACAGTGAACAGTTAATGATATCGGTGAGGGGCCCAAGAATTACCGGTAGGCTGTGTTTGATGACACGCATACTCACTTTGTCTTTGCCGGGTGATTTGTTTGACGGCATAGCTAATATGATGTTCCTTATTTCTGAACAAGAGACTGGGGTGAAACTAAATCTATCATTTTCTTCAGGGTAGCTGTTATCTGTGCGATTTACGTCAGAAAGATTCCGAGCTGGATAAACACTAGGATCTTGTATTAGTGTTGAGGCTTTCTTTGCTGCATTCACACCGATGGTGGAAAAGAAATGATTAAACTCTTCGGCCACTAATTTCGGTTCCTTACTGTAGACCACTGACTCTCTTTCCCTATACGCTATATTTTCTTTAATTACCTTCCAAAGTGACCCAGTATTGTTTCTGTGTTGCTGAACTTCCTTCAGTACATATTCTTTCTGTGCATTAACAAGTGCGGTTTTTGTAAAATTGCGGGCCTCTCTGAAATTAAGCCAATCATAATGATCACGTGTTTTCCTGAAAAGACTGTGGAGCTGGTCTCTTTTGATCATGGATGCTTTTATTTCCGGGGTGATAAATGGGCAAGATTTTCCGCGTACTTTTATGATCTTTACTGGGGCGTGTTTATCCAATGTATTTAAAAATATTTCATTAAAAATGGTTAGTTTTTCATCAACATTGTCCATTCTGAAAATGGAAACAAGACGATCACGGTTGGATGCCAGATCGATCGCGAACAAATCAGGGTCGTATTTATTGTAGCTGCGGGTAGTGATATAGTTTGGTGGAGATTTGTCGGTTTTAAGTTTTAGTGATACATACACAGGGAAATGATCGCTGATACAGGTTTCTATGACGCCGCTGTTGACTACTAGTCTTGGCGAGGATACGAAAATAACGTCGACGAGGGTCTGACTGGATTCAGTAATTCTTGTTGGTGATTTTATTAACTGGTTAAGGTTGAGTTCTTTTGTCGTCTTGATCAAAGACGCTGATCCAGGTGTGGGCTTAAGCATATCGCAGTTTAGGTTTCCAAGAAGAATGATCAACTTTCCCATCGTCAGAGCATGAACATAATTAGGTTTAAAATATTTTTCGAAGCAGTCAAGCGGGCTGTCTGGGGGTCGATAAGAGACACAGACCAACAGTGATTTAGATTTTTTGTGCTGTAATTTGATCCATAATTGATGGAAATTCGTCTCGGAGATATAACTGAGGTCTTTAAGTACAAGAGATTTAATATCTTTTCATATGTAAGCACATACCCCGCCCCCTTTCTTGTGCAGTCGGTCTAAACGATGTAGCTTATAACCTTCGATTTCTATTTCCTTGTTTGTGACGGAGGTATTTAACCATGTCTCTGATACTGTAAGGACGTCAATTTTGTTAAATTTGGTAAACTTACGTAATTCTAAAAAATGGGCGTTATTTTTCAGAGAGCGGATGTTTAGGTGGACCAGTTTGAGACCTGGAAGGGTACTGAGGCTGTTATCTGACTTTTTTGTTAAATGGGCTGAGGCCGTATCATTAGTGGTTTTCGACGTGAGTGACCACGAGAGTGCGGAAGCGTTTGGAGAGGCAGGGTTGGACAAAGGAACACGAACAAGATTTCTATTTTGCAAGTTATTGTTAACACTAGAAGAATTATTAATGGTTAGTTGATATGATAGTCTCTGACGTGATGGTCTCTGACGTGAAGTGATTCTAACAGGTATTCAGGTACATCAGAAGACGCGTAAATTCGTCGCATTGAAAGGGATTCGATTAAGAGCCGCATTTGATTGAATGAATTGAATTGATTTAATGATTACTGACTTTGTAACCCAAAAAGGTTAAATTACACCAGTATTACATAAATTAAGAGAAGTAATTACTAGTAAAATTACATAATAATTACATATTTAAGATTATTTACATTTCTAAAAACATATTTACTGTTAATCTTTAATATACTTTGACTGGTAAAAACGAATTCTTAAAACGTTCAGTTCTACAAACATAATTATGATATTTACATATCGAGTATATCGGTCTTAGATCATATCCAGATAAAATTGTTTGTGGTATTAAAAAGATCTTTGAGATTTTCATTGTCAATATTCTTCTCAAAGAAATGTTCGCATAATTTTTCTCGGCGATCTCTC